AAATCTAAATCCTCTTTTGTTTTTTGTTTTTTTTGAAAGCCAGGAGGGTGGGAAGGAGGGAGGAAGTGAGAAGTAAGGACCTCCTTCTCCCCACTCAGTCCCTTTAGATTCCTCTTCTAGCTCAGGATCTCCCAACATAATTAAAAATATATCCTTTTTCTTCCCCTCACTATCCCCACATAGGGTTTTCAGATGCTGTGGAAAAGAATTAATTTACCACTGGATGTTGTAGCATGCCTGATGTCTTTGGCTCTCACTAACATCAGTGGATTAACATCAGCTTGCAGGATTAGACCCATTACGTGCACTCCACGTGTGGTTAGTATGAATAAAAAGAATGAACAGTGTGATACAAGACTGCATGTTTAAGAGCAATCTTAGTGATGATGCAAATCCTGAGAGTGAATTTGAGCTTGTCCTAGTTCCCAAGATTAAAATAAACACACCTTTGAGCTATGCACTGTTTGAGTATGTGTATAGATGAGAATGCATATCTACTTCTGTAAAGGTGTAGAGAAAAATATAGGCAGCAAATATTTTAGTCAGAATTTATACTCATTTCCCTATGTTGCCTTTTTTTTTTTTTTTTTTTTTTTTTTTCACTTTTTTTTTTTTTTTTTTTTTTTTTTTTTTTTTTTTTTTTTTTTTCTTTCCATCTCTGCTACAGCAATAGATCTGTCTTCCCTAAAGACATTTTGCTGCAGAGCAGTAAACTGAATCCTGTTTAACCAAGGCGAAATCTGAGCATGACATCATAGCAGGGAACAATGGAGTGCATCACTGCTCTCCCTGACCACACGGCAAACTTAGGGCAGCATTTAAAAATATCAATATGGGCATGTTTACATGCTCATGTAAAATGCAATATGCATTCAGATAGTGGCATAAAACACTAGGAAAGACAAAGCACTGGGGGAATCTTTTTTGTGTACTCAAGTGTTAACAGTCTGAGAGCTTTGTTCAAACCTGGGCAAAAAAGTCAATCACCCCCATGTGAACAAATCCTCCCTTTTGTCTCTAAGCATGGATCTCTGCCTTTCAGAACTGTATACATCTATCTTCCCAATATACGTGAACAGTGTTATATGAAATGACGTATTAAAACAGAATGTCAAGCCATATTCAACAGATAATCTGATTAACCACCTGCTGGTTAACCTGTAGCTTTTTTAAATAAACACCACCACTCTTACTTATTTGACTTTCACTCCACTTCGGTTTTACTTATTTTTTTACTGTATTCAGTTTTAAAGCTTTTCGGTTTTGTGTTAATCAAAGATTTGAATGAAGAAAGTAGTCATTTGAAAAACATACAAGAGAGAATTTTTAAGGAGTAACAGAGAAATATATGCTGTGTGTGTGTACACACACATACCCACACACTCCCTCTACCTTTTCTAAATTCTCTTTTCTCTTATATTTTCAAGCAAATTAAAGCATATTTGATTATGAGTTTTGTATCTGACATTAGATTCTGATGGTTAAAACTATCAGCATATTCAAATCAAAATAAAAGTTACTTATATACATTTACGAAGCAATTTCAAAATTACAAACAAGGCTTTATTTCACAAGTCTTTGCACCACAATGAGCTAGGCCAAAGGAAATATTTCTTCCTGATTGCTTGGGATTATTATTTTTTAAAAAATAAATTAATAAATGTGAAGTTAATTGTAATTCTACTGTAATATCTTTACCTGATTCTCTCTGGGTTCTTGCCTATGGTTGTCATGGTAATTTGATAATTCTGGCTTGTTCTCTACACACTCTGTTTGTCTCACTGGATTTCCTGATTATTCAGAAAATTCTTTTAAAAAATCCTCCTGTCTCTCTCCCTCTGCCCCCATTCTGACTCAATCCTGCTTTTTTCATTCATTTAGCATAGAGGAATGTGTACTATTTTGCTACTAATCTGCTAGGGTGAAGCTGTTTGCTCCACTTACCCGAAAATGGAGATAATGAGCATACATACTAGAGCTCTTCTTAAATTATCTTCCATAGTCTATGATAGGGGATAGATAGGAAATGTGGAAAGATAACTGCATATAGATTTCTTGTAGAGTACTTGGATCTTAATCCTATAGATATTATTTAGGGTTTAACTGCTGCATTTCTGACAGCAGAAACATGTATTCAACTGTTGCCTTTTCAAATGTGACAGATACATTTGTACCTAGAGCAAGAGTCAGAATATATTCTCTCTTTATGACAGAGTGGAAGCAATATTTTTATTCAGGGGTTCAAGTGACAATTTATGCCACAAAACACAAACTGATCATGCTCTGAATGCACCAGTAAAGAAAAATGCAAACAGCTAAGTAATATTTAGCTCAGGTGTGTATTTACAAAAGGTTTATGTCATTGATATGTGCATATTTTAAAAGCACTCGGCATTAAATTATGTATACAAATATATATGTACATATTATAGATGTATACATAATATATATGTATGAAGGTACATAAAATTGCTTTTTTGGGAGCTGGGGTTCTCCCCCAGGCAGTACAGGATATTGTGATAAAAGCATGGAATATCATTTGTACCTATGGTTACTTTGAATAATTTGCTTGAATATTACATCTCATGTTAATACCTTTCATAGTCCTTGTACATTTAGTATCTACACTCTTCAGGAAAGGGTATATATTTTATTTTGCTGGTCAGTACCTCATACAACTACAGCCTGAAATCATAAGAATCTCAAATAATTATTTCAAGGCAAGTAATTCACCATCATTATGAGTAATTACTGAAACTATGGCCCAATTTATTACAATTTTGACACAGTAATTTCCACTTTACAGTGTCTTTACAATGCATCAATGGAATTTGCAGTCCCTCTGAATTAAAACTATCTAGTATCAACTAGAAGAACCTGTATCAATGAAGGCTACAAATTCTTCTGTGTGGCCTCCTTTGCTTACTTCTTCTCTTTCTTGTATGTAAAGCACATTTGGGATTCAAGTCCTTTTGATGGCAACATGCTGTGGAATCTGCTAAACTCAGTAAGTAGTCAGTCCAGTTGTGACAGCCCCTCTATCACAACCTATTGCCATAATCTAGGACATCAGTGACATTATCTCACAGTCTGCGACATCACTCTGTGAATCACAAGACTAGTAAAGGTTGATGTTGGTGTCACAGGTGGTATTTGTCATGTGAGTGCAATGTTCACACTCAACTGTGAAAATGCTGTTAAAATAACCCCGTCTACCTATAAATTTATTTGGATTTTTTTCAACTGTACAAATCCTATCTTCTTCTTACTTTGATTTTCAAATTTTTATTGTCAGTAAAATAAAAATGACATATTTTATTCAATTCCTATGTAATGTAATAAAGCAGCAATGAACACATTTTTTTTTACATGCTAAAAACCACCTATCTCTGCTACTGAGCAGAAAAGGGTTCAGTAAATCACATGTAGGATATCTAATGTTAAAATGTTCTTAAATTTACTTTGAATTCCTATTTATTAATTTATTTCTACAATGTAAACACTGTAGAAACTCGATAGACCATACACTTCATACTTAGCACAAAAAATTGTGCCCCCTCATTTCTGAAAAGAAGACTGAGCAGAGCAATGGTGTATTTTACATTCTGCTAACACCTAATTATTTTTAGTAAACATATCCAGTAGCATTTATTATATGCACAATCACAAATATTTACAAAGAAAATACAGTCTTCAAAGCAACCTACATGAAGATTTTTTTTTATTTTTCTAGAATGTTGTTTGTTTTCATACCTGCTAATTGTTAAAAGTCAGTAATCTGTAGTGATCTTACTTTTATTTGTGTAAATTAGTAGTCTTGCTGCACAAATTATGAAGGCTTTGCCACACAAGTGTACCAGGCTCAGCTATTTCATTTAAAAGTCAGTGTGCTCCAGTCCATTTTTTTATTACTGTTATCTTTAGTTCTGTGAAGCCTTGGAACACTTCCCAGTCTGGATCTACAGAAAGTTTCCCAGGAAAATGTATAAAGAGCCTGTGTTCTGCTTTACTCTGCAGTGCCTATGTGCTTTTAGTGAGCTAGGTCTTTGAAGACACAGCCCATGCATGGAGTCCAGTCAGGCCGAAAAATTTAGCAATTGAGATATTTTACAATCCAAAAATCTCTTTTAAACAAAGGTGTGGTTTAGCAGGACTGGCTGCTTCTGACCTCTTTCAGCCTCTTATTATTGCAGCTGCTATGATGTAAGGCTGAGTATGGTAAAGCTAAAGTAGCTGAGGCTCAGGGAGAAATGCTGAGAACAGCTGTTTTACTGTAAACATTAACAAGGGTTTGAGTTCATTTGCAAGCTGGGAGCATTCACAGTTTCTGCACAAATACTTCGGGAATTTGTTGTAGATGTTCACAGCACACACAAAAAAATTATCCCTTCTATACATTACTGCAGCTTTGAAAGAAGCAAATCCTCTACAGAGAGATGCATTCCATTAAAATCAACAGGGAATTTTTCACATTAATACACAGCTTCACACAGACGAGACAGACATACACACAGGGAAAGAAGCAATATTTATCTGCTTTAGTTATTTCTAAAGCTCCTATCACATTAGTATCTAAGTGCCAATTAGATACCAAAAATACCCAGTTGTAGCAGACACTTATGTCTGCTGATTATTATAGAGCTACAAACAGAATTCTATCCAAGAGGGCAGAGAGGGATTTGAATGCTTTCCCCCTAGCTTGGTGCTGCAATTAATGGATATTATGAAACAAATTTCAGATCTAATTTCCTTCATTACATTCTTGAGGCTGCTTTATTCTAAAGCAAATGAAAAGTCTCAGACAAAGTGACCTTTGCAGGGAGCAGGGGACATTCAGTGACATCACATACATCTGCATATGCACACACAGGCATACAGAAGGCCAGATCCTCCAGACACTGAAAGCTGTATTTTTGCCACATTATCACTGCAATGGAGTCTGTGAGGCAGCTCAGCCAGCTACTTGCACATCAGCCAATGCAGATGTGACAAAGCCTCAGCTGCTTTGCAGCCACTGCAGAGACTGCAATGGCTCGCCCATTCCTGAGTCCTTGTGAAGGCACACAGTTTAGAAATGGCTGGGCCAAGCCTATTTCTCATGGATTACTAGCTACCAGAGTAATTTATTTGGTATAGTGGTAGCTCCTGCAAAATTCAGTAGCTCTGCTGGTGTTACAGTTTGCACAAGGGACCACGCTGGCAGGGAGACAGCCCTGGGATGATGTAAGGATGGCTTAAAGCTGCATTTTCACCACCCTCTCTAAAGCCTGCCAAGAACTGTTTGGCCAAAGCTTGGAGCCTGGGCAACAGTCCCTACT